TATAAAACTTAATACTAAACAATTAAACTAAACTCTAAAAAAATAACACGACCAGTAAATAACTTAACAATAACGATAACATATAACACACAATATATTAATTTAAAAACCAACACGCTACAATTTGAATTTAAACAGACTGACAAATTTGGACCTGTAAAATGAGAATCCGTCTGGCTTAAGACAATAAATTATATTTAATAGCCTCATGATGAATGAGAGGGCGAATATCAACACGTGCGTTTGTTTACAGTTGGGAATTTTCTGAATGAATGTATTTTAGGATATTCGAATGATAGGTTGCCAAAATTTCTTTTAAAAGAAATTATGAGAGCAAGGTGTGGCTGGTGGAAAGATTGGATCAGCATGGGAGAAAATAATTTCTTCAGTTCTTTTGATTGATTTTTGACTTCTTACTCCTCGGATGTATTCCGTAATTTGTCCGATATCCCTGCGCAATAATTTAATTTTCCTCAAGTCTTTTTTTCCCATGGTGCAATTATGTTTTCAGTCCTTCCGATATTAGTTCCCCGTCGTGTTCTGATCTTAATAATTATTATTATCCAGATTTAGCCATACGGCTCACACTCCCTCTAAGGGGAAAATTCACTCATCCCAGATACCTACGGTATCAAAAGGATTGAGCTCTGGTGGGACTCTTTCCATGTTATCCAGTCCTAGGTGAATTGGTACGTCGGTGTATCTCCTAAAAATTTTCGCACGCATCTGGACATCGAAAGTAGCTTAGCTTTCTGCATGACCTTATATAGATGTTCATTTAGACCCAGCTTTTTTATGTTTTCTAGGAGGTTCTTCGGAATGACTCCAGTGGTAGAAAGAATAATAGGTATCGTTTGGGTACTTTCCATTGTCCATTGTCTTCTTATTTGTATTTCCAGATCTCTGTACTTGGCGATCTTTTCGTTGTACTTAACCCAGATTATTGTTGTTAGGTATCGCCACATCGATTAGAGCTGTTTGTCTTGTTAGTTTATTAACTAGCACGAGATCTGGTCTATTATATGCTACAGTTTGGTCTGTGAGCACAGTGCGATCCCAGTATAGCTTGTAGTTGTCATTCTCAAGCATACTATCAGGAACGTATTGATAATATGGGAGATGGTTTGTTTGTAGAAGTCCCAGTTCAAAAGCTATCTCTTGATGGAGGATCTTCCATATCGGCATTTGTCGTTTTGGACCTGAGGGTCTTTGATGATATATTTCAGGTAATTTTTGGTTGGTATAACCTGATCCTGAATGGCGAGTAATGAACCTTCTGTTTCGGGGAACATCTTTCCTGATGTCAGCCAATAGTTCGACGCTATATTGTCGACGTAGTCTTCACTGACTTCATTCGGATGTCGCCCGTGCAAAGGTTTACCCATCCAGATGCGCATTTTTTCGTTCTTAGTAAGATGGTTTATGCGCAGTTCTTGTTCCCTCAGTTTGATCGGTGTTTTATTACTTTTCTCTGAAGAGTTTCTATATCCGTTTTAGTCTACTTAATAATCCCAAATGAGTAGCTAAGCGCGGAAAATGCGTAAGTGTTTAATGCCTTAAACAAATTTTTACTATTAAGATGTGAGCGGAGTAGCTGTTTTAACCTTCGTATGAACTCTGATGTTAATTCGATTTTCATTTGTTTATGGTCAATTTTCCGCGCTTGCTTTACTCCTAGATATTTATAAATATCATTTTCGCCCATAGCCTCGATGTTTTGACCATTTTGCATATCGAATCCCCCGGGCTGAACCTTTCCCTTGACTATATTTAGTACACGACATTTGTATAACCCAAAGTCCATACTGATATCATTTGAAAAAGTTTCTACAGTTTTTAGCATTTGATCTAATTGATTTCGAGTGGAAGCCATTAGTTTTAAAACACCCATATACAACAGATGATTAAGCTTCGCCACTACAGTGTTGTTGTTTTTAATGCTAAAACCTGAGTCAGTGGAGTTCAATAGCTGGGATAGTGGGTTCATCGCTAGAGAGAACCACAAGGGACTCCGCTAGTGTCCTTGGAATAGGCCTCGGTTAATTGCGATATTTTCCGTTTCGATATTGTTTTCACCAGGTATTTGGAGGTGAATTTTAGTCTTCCAATCTGTCATTATATGTCTTAAGAAGGTCACTATATTATCATCCACTTTATATATTCTTAATATATCTACGAGCCATTCATGCGGTACTGAGTCAAAGGCTTTCTTATAGTCAATAAAGGCAGTGAAGAGGTTCCTTTTTTTGGTGTATGCCTGGTTAGAAATGACTGAGTCGATATGTCGAATCTGTTTTTCTATTATTGAAAGCCCTTTTATGTTCTGCTATTCGTTTATTAAAGTTTCTACCAGTTTGACCGATGTAAGTTTTTGGGCAGTCGCCACATTGAAGTTTGGACACACCACTATTTAAGTGTTTTTTATTTTGGCTCTTGTTATTTTTAATATATTTGCCTAGGTTGTTATTTGTTCGGAAAGCTGGTGTTATTCCTTTCTTTTTTATGTGTTTGGCTATTTTTGTTGTTATTTTGCCTGTATATGTAATCGAGCAGAAGGTACTGGGTTTTTTCTCTGGTGGTGGAAATACTAATTTCAGGGCTTTCTTGTGTAGTTTTTGATTTAACATTTTATTAATTGTTTGTTCGTTGTATCCGTTGTTTTCTGCTATTTGCTTAATTATATTTAATTCTGTCTCAAAGTTGTATTTTGACATCGGAATTTCTGTTAATCTATGTAACATACTATGATAAGCTGCCAGTTTATGTTGTGTTGGATGGGATGATGAATTGTGTATAGTCGTGTCAGTATGTGTAGGTTTGTGAAATATGGAGAAGTCATGTTTGTTTTTAAGTCTGATAATCTTTATATCTAAAAAATTTATGGATTGATTTTGTTCTGTTTCTATTGTAAATTCAATATGACTATGAAGTGAATTAATATACGATAAAAATTGGTCGAGTTGCCTGTTAGTTCCTGTGAAACATACCAGTACGTCGTCTACGTATCTCCACCAATATAGAAATTGTTTGAATACGGGATGTTTTGAAATCTTTGTCTCTAGATGGTCCATAAAAATATCTGATAGTAATGGGCTTGGATATCTTGAAGTTTGCATAAACCAGGACTACTTTGAATTTAATGATCAAATATATACAAATAACAGTGCAGGACTTATAATGGGCAATCCTCTAAGCCCATTACTATCAGATATTTTTATGGACCATCTAGAGACAAAGATTTCAAAACATCCCGTATTCAAACAATTTCTATATTGGTGGAGATACGCAGACGACGTACTGGTATGTTACACAGGAAGATGAAGCCCAACTCAGGACATTCGAGAGAAAAATACTGAGGAAAGTATATGGCCCGGTACAAGAGGATGATGGCACATGGAGAATCAGGAGAAACGACGAGGTTAATGAGTTAAATGAAGGTTATGACATTCTAAGATTTGTGAAAAGTCAAAGACTGTCATAGCTGGGACATGTACAGAGACAAAACGATGCAAAAACAACAAAGAAAATGTTACAATGGAAGCCCATAGGAAGGCGAAAAAAAGGAAGGCCCAGAACGAGATGGTTGGATGACGTGGAAGACGACCTGAAAACAATGAACGTAAGACAATGGGGAAGGGCACAAGAGAGATCTGAATGGAAGGACATAGCCAGACAGGCAAATACCCATCCAGGGTTATGATGCCAAAATAAGAAGAAGAAAACCTAAGAATGAACAAGTAAAAACAAAGAATTATATTTATAAAATACCTTGTGAATTCTAACATTTTTATTTAGGCGAAACATTAAGACCCTTAATGTTAAAATAAGTGAACATCAAACTTATATAAAAAAAGAGAATATGATAGATCTTAAAAATGTACATAAATACACATGGGAAAATTAACATAGAGTTCAATGGAATAGACTCAAGTATAGTTCAGAAAGAAACGGATGGTAAAAATAGAATAACTAAAGAAGCGGCTCTAATTATGATGAATCAAACTGAATCGCAAATTCCTGAGCAGAATGTACTAGGATCTGTTTCCCATATTAATATAAGAAATCAATAGAACGAATATACCCCTATTAGTAAGTCAATAATATATCGGGTATACATCATTTATGTTTTAAAATAAAAATAACGTACATATAAGATCGGAGTTTGGTGTTAAGATTGAGAATAAACTAAATGTAAGACCAAATACTTACCATGTCAGGATAATATCATGAGGTTTTCGCCACATGATCAACTATGGGATCACTAACAGGAGAATTTTACTGTCGATAATTACATGTGGTTTTCTGTTTAAAGGCAAATGACATGCTATAATTTTGCTGACGGATATTCTTAAGTTGATTTCATGTATTCGAATGAACTATCTTATGGTCCCGGGTATGCAACTTAAAAATGTCGACAATATCATTTTAAAGTTATTTATTTTAAATTATTAGAAGACTTGTTTACCAAGTAACAAAAATAAATTTTGTTTATTTTATTAATGTTTTGTATTTTGAGCACGATTTCCGAAAATTGGAATATTGGAAATCGAAACATTAAACAAACTTATTTTAAAGTAAAATTGAGGCCTATTCATAAAAAGACAAAGTAAATTACGCATCTATGTAAAGTGATTATAAATGTCGATGTTCTTTTAGAGTTCATATTGTGTGGTATTCTATTAATAGTTGTATTTCATTCTCCTCCGTGATTTGCAGCATTCATTTATGTTTTCTGTTGTGCCTATGTTTCTGATCTCATTATTCTTTATTATATTCATCAGTGTATTCACTTTTATTCATTTTCTTGGTAACTTAAACTACCTATCTATAACATAACCTAAATGGTTGATGCGAAGTTATTTTCAATATCTAGGTATGACCTAGTTTTGATTATACTCTATAGGTTTTATTAGCAAATGTTGAAAAAACATCAAAATATATTGTTATTAAAAATATTAAGATATGTTATTAAAAAATATTAACAGTGTACTTTATTTTAGGACCTATGGGAGGAAGCGGCTAAGTTTCCCCTCTTTGGTAAGCTTCACGACATGTCAGTATATATTTTTACGTACATCAATTCTATGGCAGAAAGAGAGAAACTTAATGACGAGTCAAGAAGGTTATGTGACATTAGACCTACAGGAGCCATCCTCATAGTTTCAGAATGTAGAGGTGAAAAGGCAGATGATACACTCAATATATCTATAGGACATCTGATTGGAAAACGTACGAAAATTCTAATATTTTTTATCTATCAAAAACATTAGGTGTAAGTGTTTAGGTAATGTCAGCATCTATTGAAAATATTGCAGTAAGCAATAATTACAGTCTATAGCAATACTCTATAGAAAACTTAATACTAGAGACAAACACTGATAATTATTTAGCTCTGATACTATTTTCTATTTTTCACCTCATTAACTTCTTCTTCCTCGTAAGATATTTGGAAGGAGCTTGTTGTCTTGTAAGCTGAATGTTATAGACATTGACTGGTAGAATTATTTGTGGTGATCATTGGCAAATAAAGCCAATAAAGACCAATTTTTCCAAAATGGTAATAAGAATCAAAATATTAAAACAACGTTCATTACTATGTAGTTCTAAGTTATCGAGAACATTTATCGGGAAACGCCTAATCGGGACGTATCGGGTAAATATGTTGTGTTTTGCTTTTTCGTGAATCACCGCATTGTTTGCAAGATAGTTATGATATTGGTTTAAATAGACTGCTATCATTAGAACGGCGCTTATTTCGTCAACCAAGTTTGCAAAAGGAATATTCTTTACATATGCAGGAGTATCTTGATTTAGGTCATATGCAGTTAGTCCCTAATTCCGAAAAGAAAAAGGGAAAGTATTATATTCCACATCATTGCGTTGTGAAACCAGATATTGTTTCAAGTAAAATTCGAGTTGTGTATAATGCATCTCAGAAAAGTCCCAATCTTGGCAAATCTTTGAACGACTGTTTACTTCTTCTACGGCACTACAGCCCAAATTGAGCCTTGGCCTCCTTTATTTTTTGCCTTCACCCTTGCTTGTCTGTGGCTAATCTCCATACACGGACTCCTAAAAGGGCTTATGCGTCGCTATTTACTGTGTCTTCCCAGCGCTTTCTTGGCTTTCCAACCGGTCTCTTTCCCTGTATTCTTGTATTTAGTGTTCTTTTTGGTAGCTTATCCTCTCCCATTCTTATCACATGTTCCGCCCATGGCAATATTTGTATTCGAATGAAGTCTGACAGTGGTGCTTCCTTATAAAGTTGATAAAGCTCGTTGTTGTGTCGACTTCTGTAGATTCAGTTTTCCCTCACAGGTCCTAGTATTCTCCTTAGTACTTTCCTTTCGAATGGATCGAGTTTGCTTTTGGATGTTTTTTGCAGGACTTCAGGCAAAATAATCTCTGTTTGCCTGCGTTATTCTCTTCCATATTTCTCCATCTTCTGATCCGTCTGCATATATTTTTACTCCCAGGTATGTAAACTTTCAAACTGTTTCAATGTCATCTTCATGTATAATGTTTTGAGGGACGATATTTCTTCTCGTTCATTATTTTAGTTTTTTCTGTGTTAATTTCCAGACCTAGCATTTTTGTTTGCGTTTTTAACTCTGCGTATGTTTCCTGTGCTCCTGTTGATGTTCTACTCATAATATTAATATCGGCATAAGCGGCCAGTTGAACCGTTTGGTTGGTCAGTAGGTTTTCTCGTCCAGTTTGCATTTGTCTAACTGCATACATCAGTGCCAGGTTAAACAAAGTTGGAGCCAGCCCATCTCCCTGCTTTAATCCCTGCGAAATTTTGAAAAAGTCTCTTCGGTGGTTTTGTATTCGTGCACATGCCTGAGTTTCATTCATTGTGGCTTTAATGAGTCTAATTAGCTTGTGTGGTATTACCAATTCAGCCAATATATTGTAGAGTTTGTACTTTTTCACTGAGTTGTATGCTTGTTTGAAATCTACAAACACTTTGTGAACATCAATGTTATGTTCCCATGATTTACTCAAGATCTGTTTAACTCTAAATATTTGATCCAGTGTCGATCTTCCCCGTCGGAAGCCCGTCTGATACTCTCCAATAATATTTTCTGCTAGTGGTTTATAAGTGGAGCCGCTGGTTTATAATATAGGTCAGGACTTTATATACTGTACATAGTAAAGAAATTCCACGGTAGTTTTTGCATTTGTAAAGCTCGTGTATGTGACTTGCTAGGTGGTCGCTACCTATCTTATACAATTCTGCTGGTATTTCGTCAACTCCCGGGGATTTATTGTTTTTCTAGGCCTTAATAGTTTCGAGAGCTTCCTTTATGGTTGGAGCTTCTACTTCATTTTCTACTTCAGCAAACCAAGCCAGTAATATAACTCAGCTATCTTATTAGTAGAAATCAAATGACCTGATGTCACATCACCATAAAAGGTTTTTAATACTTCATCCCTATTAGCTATTGGGACTACTATTTTCCAATCAGACATATTCGATAGACATTCGACAGGACTGATAACATGTTTATAAAGGATATTATTTTCCACCTTAAAATCAGAATATCTACTAGGTTCTTGGGTGACATTACAGATCTAAAAGATTGATATCGAACGTTCGTGACAACGCGTCTGCAACTACAACACCATTGGCTTTATGATTCACAATCCTATAATTAAATACAGAAAGCCTACAAATCCAACGGAAAAAACGGTGTGACGGATTTTTCATAGAATGTAACCATAATAAAGAACTATGCTTCGTGGTGATAGTGAACTTACGACCTTCAAGATAGTACCGAAAGGCATCAAGACCATGAATAATTGCAAGAAGTTCTCTTTCTGTGCTTTATTAAGCTTTTTGTTGGTATAAGCTATTGGGTGTTCCGAACCATCCTTTATCTGAAATAGTACACCTCCTGAAGCAGTGTTGGAAGAATCTGTCATGAGATAAAAATGCTCTTTAAAATGCTGAGACGTTATGACAGGAGCACTAGTAAGAGCTTCTTTTATACGCCGGAAAGCATCATCGGATTCTTAAGTCCATGTAATAGTTTGGTCTTTTTCCTATTTTTAAGCAAACCTATAAGTGGGGACAAAAAAGTAGAATAAGACGGAACAAACCGACGATAATATCCACACATAATATCCACACATAGCCTTTACTATCGACTACATATCCTAAAAATTTAAGACTAGGACGACAAAACTGACACTTATCTAAATTAATAGTCAAATTAGCCTCTTTGAGACGTAAAAACAACTTATCTAAAATTTCCATATGAAGTGAAAAATCGGGAGTGGCAACCAAAATGTCATCCAAATAATAGAAAACATAGGGCTCTAACTGAGGACCAATGACTAAATCCACCAAACGACACATTCATGATTCAGGAGCTGAAACAAGACCGAAAGGCATAGTGACAAACTGGAATAATCCTTTCCAACTGACTGCACAAGCTGAATACTTTTTACTTTCCTTACTTAAAGGTATTTGAAGAAAAGCTTTAGATAGGTCGATAGAAGAAATGTACTTAGCATTCTTTTCCAAGTCAACTTGCCATGCATGAGGAATAGGATACTGATATTCTCTAAAAGATGTGGTATCTCCTATCTCAATAGTGTGAGAATTAAGGAGGTACGACCTAACTTGTCTTTTGATGAAAGAGATACCAATTTAGAGATCATATTCTCTATTTGCCTTTGTTCGGGACTAGATAAACTAGAAAAGTCCTGAATAGTACTAAGTATAGACAGATTAAATTGGGAAACAGAAAAAGAAAAATTAGAACAATTTAGTGTGTTATTAAAAGCATTTAGGAAATCCATACCTAAAATTATAGAATTCTGAACTGAGGGAATAATATAGAATATAATTTGCTTACATAAATCTGCTACTGTAATTTCAGTTTCAAATTTGCCTGTAATAGACTGAACTGTACCATCTGCAGTAAATACTTGCAGAGAAGAAATGGGCATAATAGAAATCTTAGTATTTTTCAGTAAACCTAATGAATGTGAAGCTATCACAGAAATGTTTGAGCCACTATCTAAAAGAGCTAAACAAGGTTGTCCTAAAATCTTAATACGAAGATAAGGTCTATTATTATGTTTCTTCACTAATAATGAATTCAAATCAAAAAAATCATTATCTGATCGGTCAAAAACTTTAAATGGTATCAAACTTATTATCTCTACCAACACAATCAGAGGATGCAATAGACCAACAAGAAGAATCAGAAATAAAAGAATCTTCCTGACTTATGGTAGACTCTGGTATACATACTGGAACTACACTACTACTATCATGTTTAACACTAAAATTTGTGTGAATCAAGTGTTTTAGATTGGGAAGTTACTTTTTTGAGTGATTTTGTGTAGTGTGTGTTGGTTTTTTCGTATAAACCCCTTTTCCTTTTCGACTGGAAGATGGATTTGAGTGGTTGGACGTAGTTGGAACAGTTGCTTTGATGTATCGGTTTGGCTCCCTGATGTGGATATGGACGGAGAATCGCTCAGAGGACGGACCTCCGGTCGGTCTTTTCCCGAACACTTTCCACGAAAGCAATTACGTTTGAGGGTAATTTCTCTACCACAACCATGGCAGAAGATACGGGTACGAGGAATACCTCAATCATAAAAAGTGTCATACTTTTTACAGACGACTTTAACTGTCGTTAGTCATACAGTACAACTCAATGCAGAAGTATTACGTTCATGGCCTTTGAATTGCCAAGACCGGTGTTTAGAAGTATCTAGGTGATGGAAACAGTTAAAAGAAGAGGGCCGAGAAGTAGTTGGAAGGTAAGAGGACCAAGATAAAGTTTCTTCTAAATGTTTACACTTGTCAGTGATATCAGCTATACTACTGATCTCTACAAGGGTCAACTGCTGATGATAGAATTGCAATAGACATTTCAGGATCTTGTTCCTATGCCGTCCGCATTAACGGAGGTTGGCGACCATATTTCTAAAAGTTCTCTGTCTTTTGCAACGTGGAATTGTTCGTCTACAGTCATGTTTGTCCAGTCTCGAAGATTTCGCAGCCATGACTTCACCTTTCTACTTATTCCCTTTTTGCCATTGACTCTACCCTGCATGATGACCTGCAGAAGACTAGATTTATCATTCCTCAGTATGGGTCCAAGGTATGAAGTCTTGCGTACTTTTATTTTTCTCAACAATTTTTTGTCTTGACCCATCCTTCTCAACACTTCCTCATTGGTGACCCTGGCAGTCCATGGAAT